AATTAATCAAATCATATTAAAAATAAAACCTAAGTGATACTGTCTTGGTTACTTAAAAAATTATCTTTTTAAAAAAGATAAAAGAAGACGCTAAGAATATACGTGCTCTTACACTTCTCGGATAGAACCTACTAGTGGTACCGAATACGTTACGTATCTTTTTATTATTCCAACTCAAGTAGTAGTAGTTTTATCCCTACTTTAAAAATATTTCTACTGAAAGTCCCCTTATTCCAATCTAACAAGAGAAGATTCACAACTGTCAGTGTCCGGAACCGATTTGATTCTCTATGAGATATGTTGTTAAACACGAAAACCTAAGAAACACGTATTTTTTTATACGTGCGCTAATTCATGTTTAAGGAGGGGGAGAAACAGCTCTTTAAAAAAAAAACGATATTTTTCTTTCAAGACTAATATCGTCGGAAATATAAAAGATAGAAAAAATTTTTAAACAAAAGTTGTACGGTTTCAAGAGTACTTTAAAATTATCAATAAAAAAAATTTTATTTAACAATATCCCCACCACCCATAATTTTCTTAAATTAAAAAATTTTTGTTTACGAAATTAAAGATTATTTACAATATGATTGGAAACAAGACCGTCTATATAAATATTACAAATCTTAAAAAATTTGGGAGAATTTGGGGGGATTATTTGTTTCAGATTGATTGTGTGAATCCGATAATTTCATCGGCTCTCAATTTATTTCTGAAATATTAATTCAATTTAATTGAATGTATATTAGATAGTAGTTCAACATCTTAACACTCGGACCGGGAAGGCGCTTTGTATTTAAAGTTGTAATAAAGATTATTTTTTTACAAATTCAATTATGTATAATAAAGTTATATTACAACATATTATTTTTGAGAATTAATTATTAATGCTTCCGTATATATTGTACGTAATCCATGCTCATATGCGCAAAAGTAATTGTCGTCAGAACAGTAAAATATATGAAAACTTGAAAATATGAAAAGATGTCTTAAGTAAAATTTGCATAGTTTTCTATATGCTTTATTATATATGTATTTAAATTTTATATACAATATATATGTATGTATATGTATTAGATTTTCTAAATATATAATATTTTTAAGATATATATATATATTATACATATTAACCCTGTTATTATTTCATTGACATTTATGCTTAAATTCTAAACAAAATTGTAAGATTCGTAACATATTCTCGTAAGATTTATAAGAATTTTGAAGTG